TGTAATTATCTCGTGATCTCATGTTTTTATGTTTTTGTTTTTGTATGTCAAAATAAAGTTTCACTACACCTTTCGCACGTCCAAATGAAAGAGAAGGGAGCGAGAGGCCCTCCCTAAAGTGTCCCGGTTTGGCAACAGAGATATCTGGTAGCCCTAGCATGGTGTCAAGTTAGCACTACATACTAAATTTTGTTCGAAAAAGGGTCAACTCAATTTTTTCCAGAAAAACGACAGCTACAAATTTTTTCTTTCCACAACAAATTTTAAAGTTAAAAGCTACAATTAATGGCATAGTAACATATTGGATATCTCAATTCTATCGACTAGGTGTATGGTGTCAAGTTAGCACTACATACCATTTTTTCTTAAAAAACGAGAGCTACANTAACACAACTACAAGAGAATTCTGCATTGTGAGGGTTATAATCCCTAAGTGCGGCCGAAGTCCGCCTATGCAGAAAGGTGTTCTCTGCAAAAGGTGTTCAGTGCCTTTTCTTCGCAACACAGAAAGAGAATTCTACGTTGTGAGGGTTATAATACCTAAGTGCGGCCGGAGGCCTCCTACGCAGAAAGGTGTTCTCTGCAAAAGGTGTTCAGTGCCTTTTCTTCGCAACACAGAAAGAGAATTCTACGTTGTGAGGGTTATAATACCTAAGTGCGGCCGGAGGCCTCCTACGCAGAAAGGTGTTCTCTGCAAATGGTGTTTTTTTATAATTATTTTACATTGATTCAATTTTTGTAAGAACTATACAACATATATATTAAGTACGTATACCAAATTAAAGGAAATTTCCTATTAAATGAGATCAAAATTTTCAAGATCCATCTATCAGTTTTTAAGAAATCTTGATTTCAAAAATTGCTTATTTTGAACTTTAACCTTTGATAATTTTTGTTGTTGTTGTTTGCCCAAAAAAAGAAGTATACCGCTATACTGAGCTCAATCATCTCTATCGATTCCAATATTTTTTTTTTTTTTTGAGATTTGGAGCCCAACTGCATTTTTTCCCAAAAAAAAAAAAATTTTTTTTTTTAATCAGAAGATTTCTATGAAAGGGATTTTACTAAATTTTGGGCAAAAACGGGGAATTTCATAGTCTAAATCGGGGAATTTTCAAAAATAAGTTGGCTACCCTCGTATGTAGGTATACAAAATAAACAATGCCTGCTGAAATTGTTTATTTTTTTTGTTTATTTTTGTGTAAGATAAACATGTTGGCATGCTCCTCGATTCAAAAAGCATGGACATACTCAATAGCAGCAACCAACGATATGCAAGCCGCTTCAGCCAAATACTCCTAATGCATATCCTCATAGTCAGTGAATTTATCAAGCATGCTGATAGAAATACTATATATAGCTCTACGCGTTTCCAATTTTGTGGAAAATGTATGAAAATGTTTTTAAAGATTATACCGGCTGTATACTCACTCGCCATGTTCTCTGCTATTTAATTCTTGTAATGTAGTGCTATTTGGAGGCACTTTTTCGTTGCCGATGTCGCTGCTTCTGCAATAACACAAAAACAAAACTCAGCTTGTGTTTTTTGGTGATAGATATTCACGTTGAGGATATAGTTTGGTGTTTCGATGTTAAATTGTGAACTGTATCCACTTGTATTTTAGTTGCACAAAAATTTAAAGATCAATTTTTCGGTTCTGTTACGATCTGCTCGGATTTTTTGTCTGGTACGTCTGCGACCGATTACTTGGCACTCGGCGTTAAAAAAAAACCATAAAATGTGTATAAATCACGAAGATTCCGCGTTCTTTTGGTGAACGTTTCCTTTTTATATTAAAGACACTTCTAGCTTATTTTCACTGGCTTTTTATTAACTTGTTTTATTTTAATTTAATTTAATAAATACATAAATCGTCACGCATTTAAACACTAGCACTTCCTTTCTTCAACACAAACGACAAAACATTGATTTGTCTCGCTCTTTTTGTCTAGTGAAAAATACCATTCTGCAGTGTTGCTTCTTTAAAATTTTAGCCTGCCAATCAACAAGAAAATGGCGTATGCAAATATAAGGTTAGGTAAGTTAATTCAAGTGAATTAGTTTATACATTTAAATGTGCACATTTTTAATTTACTTCAAAAGCGTCAATATTAACAAACCCTTACTCAAAATATTTCAATAAAATAATTTCAAGTGGGAGGATTATTGTAAAGAAGCAACACTAATGCTGTATAGTGCTGCCATATGTTCGAGCACAATTTAAAATGCACAATTAGGGTGGTTCAATTACTAATTACTAAATTGAAAGGGAAAAATGTTGGTTACGAAGCTTATGCCACCATACACTGCTTGCAGCTGAGAAGGGTGCTGAAAACCTGAGAAGCTTAGGTCCAATTTGAAATGATTATTTAAACGGCAGTTAAGTGTAATTTTGGATTGTTGTTTAAATGCCGTTTAGCTTTCGTTGGATTTCAGATCAGCTTAATGCCAAACAATTGGCAGCACTGCTGCTTGTTCCTAGAAATTGAAGTTGGATTTGTTGGTTTATTTACATTTTGTGCTGAACGGCTTCTTGTTTTTTTGGTGGGATTGATTAAACAACCTACCCATCAATCTTGGTTGTTTGGTACCAATACGGGGATTCATATCTCATATTTAAATAGGTAATATTGGCATTTCAAGTGCAGATTGAAGGTATGATCTGAAAATGAGTAGTGGGAGTTAATCAGCTACATATAAAAGCGAAAGTACATAACGTCCATTGCGTCACCGTCACCACCACCGGCAGTTGTCAAAAAAGTTGAATCGGTGTATTTGTATGAAGTAAGTCACATGTACAAGCTGACGGTGATGGTGCCGCACAAATTAACTCAACTATCAGCTTTGCTTATGCGTCTGTGTCAAAGTACAACTATTCAGTGTTTTGTTTACAGGTTTGAACGTAAATTGTTTCAGTTTGAGAAAATTTTAATATTTATGGGAAAGCTAAATTTAAAATATAATAGAGGAAAAACTAGAACAAGAAAGAAAGAAAGAAATTTAAAAAGTAAAACATGTTCTTTGCTGGTAGTTGGGGTGTTCACAGTTTGTTCCAAATAGCGTCTCAAAATGTAGACGTCTACATTTTAAGACGTTTTTTAACCGTAAAACCTGTGGTGTTGTTGTTTCCCATACAAAATTGGAAAACGACGCCGTCTACATTTTGTCACACTCAAAGGTATGTTTTTTACGCGTCTACATTTTGCAACCTCGCAGCAGGGTTGCATTATGGCAATACTAATCACATTTTTTTTATTTATTGGGCACGTTTTCTGTATTTGCATTTAATTTGAGCGCAATTTCTGATGAAAAGAAACAAATCAAGGAAAAGAAATAACAAATATTAGGAATTGGTAATTAAGTTAAATAATTACAATTTTTCAGAAACAAAATCGAAAGGCGACATATAAAAAAGCACGCAAAGAAGAAATGTCTGGCAACACCAGCAAAGTTTTGGGACGATTTTGCGACGACTGCTAGAAAGGGGTGCTCACAGTTTGATGCTAAAGATGTCTCAAAATGTAGACGTCTACATTTTCAGACACAATTTGGAACGAACTGTGAACACCCCAAGTGATTTTTAAAATTTGAACGCTAATGACCTACAGATGTCGCGAAAAACAAATAGTTTATCGACTTGGTTTCGAAAGGAAACGTATGCAAAGGTTTGCAAATTCAGGTGCACTTGATTATTTTTTTTTCCAAAAAAAATTTATGATGAGGGATTTCCGAACATAATTTTTTTGCAGTTATACCTCCCATATTTTCCTTAATGCTGAACTCCGGGGTTAGCAATCTAAAGCCCACCCGAAAAAAATTTGTTTGATGAACATTTTTGCGATTTGCAGTTTTTAGTATAATTTAGTGAACGCTATAGGGAACTGAAGAAGGAAGCGAGACGTATTTGCCGCAATAAGAAGAGAGAGGCCTCCTCTGCGTTGGAAAGACCAGGTGGAGAAGGACTTGGCTTCACTTGGCATTTTCAATTGGCGTCAGTTAGCACAGAAGAGAAATGACTGGCGTGCTGTTTTGGACTCGGCCAAAATCGCTTAGGCGGTTACAGCGCCAAATAAGAAGAAGAAGAGTAGTGAACGCTAGAAAAATTTGTATTTATCACAAAATTATAAGAAACACAAATTTTCTTAGAACCTTATATATGTCGCAATTCATTAAAAATAAAATCTTGATTTGCATAATTGGTGACACCCTATCGCCAACTAAGAAGTTCGACGTTTGGCAACTTATTTACAAGCACCTAGCTGCTAGAGATGGGCAAAACGGTGATTTTACAATCACTGTGAAAACTGTTACTGTGATTTCCTGAAAGCTGTGACTTTAATCGGTGATTCGAATCACTATTTTAGAATTATGTGAATTTTCGATAGTACAGCTTGATACAGCCATGAAAAAAGCCAACGCAATAAGCACTCCATAATTTTATAATACCGTTATTAAAATGCAATTCGTAAAGCTTTAAATGTATATTAGTTTCATATTATTACATTTTTAAATAAAAAGTGACAAGTTTCTGTGTTGCTGAAAATGTAAATATAAGTTATATAAACATTTATTGTATAGATGAGTATTTTGAATTTGAATTTAAAAATAGAAGCATCTCCGTTTTTGCTGGACTCAACCAAGATCTTCTATCTGTTACGATCAACCCAGCCTTTGAGAAAATGCGCTCACACGGAACAGATGTGCAAATGGCACTGAGTTTTTCTTTAGCGACCTCTGCCAAAACTGGAAACATATATTGGCTTGAAAAATAGGAAAACGGTGATTTATATTCTTAATCACTGTGATAAACGGTGACTTGAAAATCGCTGTGAAAAAGTCGCCGATAGTGATTTTTTGCCCATCACTACTAGCTGCATTTCTCCAAATATTTATATTTTTAGCAAATTGTGAAAAAAGCATACACCGTAAAATTAAGTGTGATTGTGAAATACAAAGGGGACATCGACTCCAGTTTATAACTTGTTAGAGCAAAAGAAACGAATTGGACTGCAACGATGGCGACAGGCAAAACATCCTCATCAACCCCTAAAAATTACGAGTACGATTGTACCCGTAAATGTCGTTGGGTTCAGCATGGAAACTGCATTACTGCAGCATTAACAAAACGTTCAATTGGAGATGAACAGCTTGGGGCTTTCATAGCAAAGACCTGCGCCAACTACACCGATATTGTGGATGATCTGGTATTTGTTTTTTGCATTGAGGAATTGTTTATTAATACACAAATATTTACATACACATGCATACGTATGCACGCATTTTATAGGGTCGATCAGCCGTGCATTTGGCTGCCTCAGTGAATCGTTATGCTATATTGGAATGGCTTCTTAACCAGGTACACTCGCTCCTTTATGTATAGTGTTAGGTCTACTTTGTGTTTTTCCAGGGGGCGATTATAAATGGTCGTGATTACGAGTCTGGCTCTAGTGCACTTCATCGTGCCATCTATTATGGCTGCATAGATTGCGCGGTTTTGCTCTTACGGTATGGTGCTAGTACGGAGTTACTGGATGAGGACACACGTTGTGCTCTGCAGAATATCTGTCGAGCGCGTGATTTTTCCGTTTTTGCAAATGTGTAAGTTGAATTAATATTTAGCTGTGGATGCCACAAAGCCAAATTGAACATGATTAATAATTTGAGTGGATTCATTAATTTTTAGTTAATTTTATCACGTTGAAAATATGTAAAAATGTATGTGTGTACCTATGTTCAAATGTATTTACAATTCCAGGCCCAGTAGCAATGAAATCTTGGGTTGGGGTACGAATAAAAACTACAACTTAGGAACTGGTAATGCTGAACCCACCGATACACCACAATCGATAGACTTTTTTCGAAAAGAACACATATCAATTGAATCTGTAGCGCTAGGGGCCTACCACAGTCTCTTTTTGGATAAAAAGGGATTGCTCTATGCGGTAGGGCATGGCGAAGGCGGGCGTTTAGGTACGTGTAATATAACTAGTACGTCCATTGTATTGATAATGTGCATTTGTTTTTTTGTAGGAATTGGTGGCGAACACAGTTTAGCTACACCAAAAAAAGTTAAGGTCCCTATAAAAAACGCCGGAGAAAAATTAATATGCATAAGCGCGGCACGTAAACACTCACTATTGCTAACTAATCGTTCCGCAGTTTATGCATGCGGCTTAAATGAAGATAAACAATTAGGTGTTCGTGATGCTGGTGAAAAATTGCCTGTGTTCCGTGAAGTAATAACATTGCGAGATCTAAATGTCGCAGGTCTCATGCGCGTAATTGCGAGAGACTATCACTCAATTGCATACTCTGAACAATGTATTTACATGTGGGGTACAAATCACGGTCAAATGGGTATAGATGGTAGTGAAAAAACGGTTCCGCTACCAAAACAAGTACGTACGTTTTTACTTCAATTAAAATCAAAATCTAAAGCATCCACTAAATTATAGTTAAAATTGCCGCCAAGAACAACTATCGATTTCGTCGAAGGAAATAATTCGGCCACTGTCGTTTATACGAAAGATATCAACATCTTATTGTACTTCAATGGCAAAATGCGCTCAATTAAACCACCAAAGTAAGCCAATCTTTCAACTCTATCAATATCTATTGGTTTTTATTTTCATATGCGTAATACATACTATTTTTAAAGAATATTCCATTCTTAAAGAATATTAAAACGAATATTTTACTTATGTTTCTGTTTTTTATTTAAATATCTTTTACAGTTTTGAAGCAGTGAAAAGCATTTCAGTTGTTGGTGGTGACACATCTAAGTCTGGCAAGGGGACTGCTACCGCTTTAAAATTGCTCATGTTAACTCAAACCAATGTAATTTTTCTTTGGTATGAAATGACCCAACAATTTTACAGGTTTGTATTGTCGAGTTGAGTTTGAAGAGCAATGGTAAATCTGCTTGTCTTTGTAGGTGTAGTTTTTCGCATATTCGCATTTCACAAATAGATAGAATATTTTATAAGTCCAATCAAGTCTTCATACTGTCGCAAGGAGATGTATTTAAAGGCAAATGTCAGCAAGTGCCAGTTCCGACTTATATCACAAAGAGCGAAAATCAAAAACATCCTTCATCCACGGCCAACATTTGGAGTAGTTGTGATCAGAATAGAACAGAAATTTCCAAAGATCACATGATTCGCATAGAACTGCAAAGATTTTCTAGCATAGATAGAGCCGTAGACATATTCTGTGATGACGATTTTACCTCATTCGTTGTACTACAGGAATCATCTGTAAAATATTTTAAACTGCCAAATTTGACACCAGAGGAATATAGTTTTAAAAAACTCTACAATGAAATGGATGAATTTGATGCTGTACATGACGTAGTGTTTCATGTTGACAGTGAGACCTACGCGGCGCACAAGTTCCTTATATATGCGCGAGCACCTGGCTTACGAGACATTATAAAGTCATATGAAGACGAACATATCTACTTAAATCTCAAACGTATGACTGGAAAGATGTTCGAATTAATGCTAAAACATATATACACTAATCAATTTCCAAATGAAGATGGTAAATGAGCTAGATGCATTTGACTTTATTTTATAATTGTTTACATGTAATGTTCGATAATTGCAGATTTGGACAACATTCAGCATAGCTTAGGCCCTGATTGCCCAGCCGAACGTGGCGATGTGGGCCGGCTCTTCCTAGAATTCGTAGAAAAGTTTAAAATACAAAATTTGGCCAGTTTTTTGCAAAGGTTATGCACACAAATTAACACTTTCATTGCATCCATTTATATTTAAATTTACAACTTACAGCTTTTTAAAGCAGTCTTCATTTTATTTGCCCCAAATTGCTGATAAATCAAAGTTTCGTTTTAATCGTTTATATCATGGCGACTTTCCGGAGCTTTACGATGTGCGCATCATTTCCGAAGGTGATGCCATTATACCAGCACATAAATGTATCCTAGTAGCGCGTCTGGAATACTTCAGTATGATGTTCACCCACACCTGGGCCGAACAGAGCACCATCAATTTAAGCACAATACCGCCAGAGTATATGCGCCCTATTGTGGAGTTTTTATACAGCGCTGATGTAGAACATTTCCGCAAACAAAATTACTCAGAAACCTTTCTGTATAACATGATTGTTTACTGCGATCAATTCTTTATAGAACGTTTGCGTAAAGTTTGTGAAATTTTAATACTGGACAAAATAACTATACGCAAATGTGGAGAAATGTTGGTCTTTGCACACATGTACAATTGTGATGTTTTGAAAAAAGGTTGCTTACAATTTATTTGCTTGAATTTAGCACGCATTTTAAACTATAAAAGTTTGGATATGTGTGAACCAGACGCGTTGAAGTGTATAAACGAGGAATATAGGAAAATGTTTAAAGACGTCTTCGATTATCGTATGATAACCCGCGATTCAGATGCTGTGGATGATGAGTTGCTATTAAGCTTTGTGGATGATTTTCGGGTGGATCTAAGCTATCGAATGGATGAAGACGAAGTGAGTTATATGATAGTATATTTTTAATGAATAGTAGATCACTTAAAATACTATTAATTATTTAGTTACAATTTGAAGTATTTCATTCAAAGTATTTATGCTTTCTTCCACGACTGATATTTTCAGGAAGCGCTATTGAAGGCAGCAGCGAAATTAAAGTTAAAAGAAAACAGAAATAACATGAATGCCAAGCGGCAATATGAGCGAGAAGCGATATCCTCTATGCTGGAGTCAATAAATATAAATGAAAGAAATTCAAAAATTGCTCAGGACGGGCAATCGAAAGTAACGAAGGAAGCTGCAGAGGCTGCGGAAAAACTGCAAGCAGAAGCACGTACTTGGATGAAAGTTGCCGATAAAAAAGAACAAAAGAAACGACTAGCTCTCGATAGTTCGTTTAAAATAAACGAAGTTTTGAATGGCGAAGATAAACCAAAGGTTGAACTTATGCCCTTAACTAAAAAAAATGCTGATAACAATACGCCAATGACGCCGGTTACAAAGTCTACCAAAACCCCTGAAAAATTATCACCCTCGGACGATAGTACAAGGGGATCTGCTAAAGGTTACAGTTTGAATTTAGCTGACTTTACACCTCCTTCGCGAGAGAAACTCTCGCAAAAACAGCGAAAGCGTCTCTCTTCGGAATCAACATGGCGTGCCCCAGCAACAACAGACAGCAAAACTGTTACTGTGCCAACACCACAGCCGAATGCCTGGGGAGTTTTGCCACAAGCTTCGCCGAATGCTTCGTATTCGGTGTCTCCACCCACTGGGAGTAGTGAAGATCCGAGTTCGTTTGCAAATATGATGCGAAGTGGCGTTAATAGTGGTAGTAGTAGCAACGCTACGAATAACACAGACAATAGTTTTTCACGAATTTTGGCCGACGAACGCAAGCAGCGCGACTATTATGAGCGAATGCGTAGTAAGTCGTTGGCATTGACACAAATAGAGGAATTGGCAATAGCTGAGTTACGTGAGTTTTACAATGTTGACAATGTGACTGATGAGGAAATAACCATCGAAAGAAAGATATTGCCTACGACAATGAATTTCGCTGTTTGGCAACGGCATTGAAATGATGGTAGAATGTGTTTATGAATGGGTCACTGCAGGCAGATGTATGTAAAAAGTAGGCAGAAAGTAAGAAAAAAATAACTTGAAGCCTTTGGGCTGAATTGACTTCGGATACCGATTTAATTTTATTAAGAAAAAGTAAGTAATAAGATGACAAATTTTTTTTTATAATTTATTTATGTATGTATATAAATTTGATTTTGGACCGCAAGTGTTTAATAATACAATAGTACATATGGTATATGTATGTAGGACGTACATCAATAATAAATAATACAATGCAAAACTATTTAAATTAAACAAATATATATTTTGCATATACATACAAGCATAAAAAGTTCTTAAACACACAACAAAATGCCATTATGAGGCACTTAAGACTAATTAAATACTAAGCAGATAATACATTGCTAAACCAAAACCATTGTAGCTGTCAAAATATTAAAGGGAATATTAATATTAAAATTAAAATTATAAACAAACAACAAATACAAAAACATGTACTAAATAAAAGAAACAATAATAAACCAAAAATAACGGGACCTTTCTAAGTTAAAAGCATTCCTTCCGGAAGGCAAACCCATACTGATCGCATTTATAACGTAACGTTTTGCCAAGTTGTGGCGGACCGCAGTAGAAAACCGTAACTTTGCCTTTCTTCTGTGCCAACAGCTGTTTGAATACCTTATCCCAGTTAGGACGGCCTGCATTCGTGCGTGTTTTGAGGCCAGTAATGAGATCTCGCTTGCCCTACAAAACAATCAAGTAACGTCGAAGCTAAAGTAATGAAAAGTATTCACATAAGTATGTATATGTAACAAATACCTTTTCATGCAATAAATCTAAAGCCAACTGCAATCCGACAGCCTTCATATCGGTACGCTGCAGTGCACTTGTTATGTACATATGCATATCGAGAAATCTATATAATAATTTTAATGAAATCGTTATATTCATTTGTATGAAAAATCGAAAATACATACCTCTCCATTGGACCACCCAATTCGGCCTGTTCAATTTCAAGTTGTGATAACAAATTGACAAACCATTCGAATGAACGCTGATCGCGGTTGATCCAGAAGAAATCCACTTTTCGCAAATTCATCACCGTTTTCGGTATATCACTAGCCCATTCAAAATGGCAGCGGGGACAGGTGTGCCGTGCCTTCCAGTAACGATGCATTATCGATTGCAAAATAGAAGCGAACGGTGTGACGCCGATACCAGTGCCGATGAGTACAGCGTGTTGAGCACCAAAAATATGACTCGATGGTGCACCATATGGGCCATCGATGAAAATCTTTGCGAAAGAAATAAAGAAAAGCATTTGGACAATAAATGTTTGAAAATCATATTTCACAAATATTTATAAAGAAGTGTATAATTCCCAAACCTCTAGTACGCCAGCATCTAGTGTAACCTTGCTACCAGAGTTAGTGTTGCCTTGTGGAGGAAGACTGCCGTGGCTACCGTGATTTTTGATGGATGTCGAAAGGGAACGCAAGAATGTTGGTCTGCGAAAACGACCAACCTTAGTGCGTGCTGATGGATCCTTTTGGTGAAAATTCGAAACATGATTTTTGCATTTATTTTATCATTTCTAGCCAATTAAAAAATTTAGCATGTTTTGTGTAGATACATAGTAGATATGTATGTATGTATTTATGAAAAGATGAGTACAATGTGTAATATAAATTAGAAATAGTAATTGTCTTAGTTTGCAAGGTAGTGTCACCATATTGAAAAATATTAGTATTTGCTGAGAGAGTAGAATTAGTATTTAATAAATATATACATACATATACATAATAGTTCACGTAATTATATACCAAATTTTTTTCCTACACTATTAAATAGCTTTCCAAGTAATGTCGGGTTTTTAAAGTTACGAAAAATATTTGCAATGCTTTTCAAGTAAATTTTTGTGTAAAAATATTGTTCATATTGTCCAAAACTATGTATATGTATAAATTGAACTTTCAAACTTTATACAGAATTTTAAAAAAATTTTCATCAAAATATTGAACTTTTTAAACTGAATTCAAAGAAAATTTTTGGGTATGCCGTGACATGGCTTCATATAAGAAGTGGAATTTATAAAAGCTGGCTTTAGTTTTTTTTTTAATTTTTTTATTCCATAAGAAATCCACGTTTATACGAAAAAAGTGCAAACAGCCGCAAAAAAAACTATATTAAAAATCAAAGCGTTTTTTGCCGCTTAAGACTGCACCTATTTTACTAGAATTTCATGCGCCATGTAACTTGCAAACTTAAAACAATTCTGAAAATCAAAATGAAAAAATTAAAATTTTGAGGAAAATTTGTTGAATTTTTTTAAGGTCTGTATAAAGTTTGATAGTAGATTTATGTATATGAATTTCAACCAATTCGCCCTGAATTCAATTTGGCAGGGGTTGAAATTCACTCGGAAGTAAATTGCAGAGCCAGCCGGTTTACAAAACAAAAAAAAAAAAAAAAAAAA